GAATAAACCAAACATAAAAAAAGGTAACATCAGAAAATTCTTTTCCTTGAGTTCTTGATTTGTTCTCAGCTTGATCATTGTTGCTGTATAGCAGTGGTACTGATTTGTGTACACTGATTTTGTAACCTGAGACTTCACTGAATTCATTTATCAAATCTAGGAGTCTTTTAGAGTTTTCTAGGTATTCAATCAGATCAATAGTAAACAGAAATAGTCTGACTTTCTCTTTTCCAATTTGGATACCCTTTATTTCTTTCTCTTGCCTGATGAATCTGGTTAGCACTTTTAGTACAATTGAGTTGAAGTAGAAGAGTATAATTGAGTACAGTTGAGTTGAGTAGAAGAAGTGAAAGTGGGCGTTCTTGTCTTGTTTCAGCTCTCAGGGGAAATGCTTTCAACTCTTCCCCACTCAGTATGATGTTGGCTGTGGGTTTATCATATGCGGCTTTACTTTTAAATTCTTATTATTATCTTTTTGAGATGGAGTTTTGCTCTTGTTGCCCAGGCTGGAGTGCAATGGTGAGATATCAGCTCACTCCAACCTCCGCCTTCTGGGTTCAAGCAATTCTCCTGCCTCAGCATCCAGAGTAGCTGGGATTACATGCATGCACTACCACACTTGGCTAATTTTGTATTTTTAGTAGAGATGGGGGTTTCTCCATGTTGGTCAGGCTAGTCTGGAACTCCTAACCTCTGGTGATCTGCCCGCCTTGGCCTTCTAAAGTGCTAGGATTATAGGCATAAGCCACTGTGTACGGCACATATATGGCATTTATTATTTTGCAGTATGTTCCTTCTATGCCTAGTTTGTTGAGGGTTTTTATCATAAAGGAATGCTGGATTTTTTTTTTTTTTTAGATGAAGTCTCACTGTGTCACCAGGTTGGAGTTCAGTGGCACCATCTGAGCTCACTGCAACCTCCACCTCTTGGGTTCAAGCAATTCTCCTGCTTCAGCCTCCTGAGTAGTTGGGATTACAGGTGCACGCCACTACGCCTGCCTAATTTTTGTGTTTTCAGTAGAGACAGGGTTTCACCATGTTGGCGAGGATGGTCTTGATTTCCTGACCTCGTGATCCACCTGCCTTGGCCTCCCAAAGTGCTGGGATTACAGGCATGAGCCACCACGCCTGGTCAGGTGTTGGATTTTATAAAATGCTTTTTCTGCATCTATTGAGATAATTGTATGGTTTTTGTTTTTAGTTCTGTTTATGCGGTGAATCACATTTATTAACTTGTATATATTGAACCATCCCAGCGTCCCTGGGATGAAACACACTTAGTCATGGAGAATTATCTTTTTGATGTGCTATTAGATTCAGTTTGCTATATGTTGTTGAGGATTTTTGCATCTAGATTCCTCAGGGACATTTGTCTATAGATTTCTTTTTTTGTTATGTCCTTTCCTGGCTTCATAGAATGAGTTAGGGAGGATTCCTTCTTTCACAATCTTTTGGAATTGGTTCAGCAGGATTGGTACCAATTCTTCTTTGAATGTCTGCTAGAATTTGGCTGTGAATCCTTTGGCATGGACTTTTGTTGTTGTTGTTGTTGTTGTTGTTGTTGTTGCAGTCTCACTGCTTGTTATTGGTCTGTTCAGGATTTCTATTTCTTTCTCATTTGAGGGGTTGCATAGTTCCAGGAATTTATCTATTGCCCCTATGTTTTCTAGTTCATGTGCATAGAAGTGTTCATAGTAGTCTCAAATGATCTTTTGTATTTCTGTGGTGGTGTTTGTAATGTCTCCATTTTCATTTCTAATTGATCTTATTTGAATCATTTATCTTCTTGGTTAATCTAGCTAATGGAATATTGATTTTGTTTGTCTTTTCAAGGGACCCCCTTTTTGTTTCATTTATCTTTTTTTTTTTTTTTTTTTTTTTTTTGAGACTGAGTTTCGCCCTTGTTACCCAGGCTGGAGTGCAATGGCGCGATCTCGGCTCACCGCAACCTCCGCCTCCTGGGTTCAGGCAATTCTCCTGCCTCAGCCTCCTGAGTAGCTGGGATTACAGGCACGCGCCACCATGACCAGCTAATTTTTTGCACTTTTAGTAGAGACGGGGTTTCACCATGTTGACCAGGATGGTCTCGATCTCTCGACCTCGTGATCCACCCGCCTCGGCCTCCCAAAGTGCTGGGATTACAGGCTTGAGCCACCGCGCCCGGCCTGTTTCATTTATCTTTTATATTTTTCTTTTAATTTCATTTAGTTCTGCTGTGATCTTTTCTGTCTCTTCTATTAGCTTTGGGTTTGGCTGCTGCTGCTTCTTCCTCTTCTTATTCTTCTTATTATTTTATTCATTTTTTGTTTTTTTGAGATGGAGTTTCACTCTGTTGCCCAGGCTGGAGTGCAATGGCGTGACCTCAATTCACTGCAACCACTACCACCTGGGTTCAAGAGATTCTCCTGCCTCGGCCTCCCCAGTAGCTGGGATTACAGGCATGTGCCACTATGCCTGGCTAATTTTGTATTTTTAGTAGAGATGGGGTTTCTCCATGTTGGTCAGGCTGTTCTCAAACTCCTGACCTCAGATGATCTGCCCACTTTGGCCTCCCAAAGTGCTGGGATTACAGGTGTGGGCCACTGTGCCCGGCTGGTTTATTTTTGTATTTCTAGTTCCTGAAGGTATGATGTTAGGTTGTCAATTTGTGAGCTTTCAGACTTTTTGATGTAGGCATTTAGCACTAAAAACTTTCCTCTTAGAACTGTTTTTGCTGTATCCCAAAGGTTTTGATAACTTGTGTAACTATTATCATTCATTTCAAATAATTTTATTTTGAGACAAGGTCTCACTCCATTGCCCACACCCACCTTTCCTATTTTTTTCTTCTTTTTTTTTTGAGATAGAGTTTCGCTCTTGTCGCCCAGGCTGGAGTGCAATGGCATGATCTTGCTCACTGCAACCTCTGCCTCTTGGGTTAGAATGATTCTCCTGCCTCAGTCTCTTGAGTAGCTGGAATTACAGGCCCAAGACATAATGCCCAGCTACTTTATATATATATATATTTGAGACAGAGTCTTGCTCTGTTGCCCAGGCTGGAGTGCCGTGGCATGATCTTGGCTCACTTCATCCTCTGCCTCCTGAGTTCAGGCAATTCTCCAGCCTCAGCCTCCTGAGTATCTGGGATTAAAGCCACACACCACCATGCCCAGATAGTTTTTGTATTTTTAGTAGAGATGGGGTTTTACCATGTTGGCCATGCTGGTCTGGAACTCCTAACCTCAAGTGATCTGCCCACCACAGCCTCCCAAAATGCTGGAATTATAGGTATGAGCTACTGTACCCAACCCGAGCTAGTCTTAAACCCCTGGCTTCAAGTGATCTCCCCATCTTGGCCTCCTAAAGTATTGGGATTACACTGTGCCCAGCCTCTGTCTCTCTCTTTTTTTTGGATGGAGTGCAATGTTGCCTGGGCTGGAGTGCAATGGTGCAGTCTTGGCCCACCACAACCTCCATTTCCCCAGTTCAAGCAATTCTCCTGCCTCAGCCTCCCAAGTAGCTACGGGCATGCACCACCATGCCTGGCTTATTTTTGTATTTTAAATAGAGACAGGGTTTCACCATGTTGGCCACGCTAGTCTCGAACTCCCGACCTCATGATCCGCGGACTTTGGCCTCCCAAAGTGCTCTGGGATTACTGGCAAGAGCCACTGTGCCCGGCCTTTTTTTTTTTTTCTTTTTTTCTTTTTTTTTTTTTTAAGATAGAGTCTCTTGTCACCCAGGCTGGAATGTAGTGGTGTAATCTCAGCTCGCTGCAACCTCTGCTTCCTGGGTTCAAGCTATTCTCTTGCCTCAGCCTCCCAAGTAGCTGAGATTACAGGCACCTGGTATCATGCCCAGCTAATTTTTGGTAGAGATGGAGTTTCACCATGTTGACTAGGCTGGTCTCAAACTGCTGACCTCAGGTGATCTGCCTGCCTCAGCCTCTGAAAGTGTTGGAAATACAGGCATGAGCCACTGCATGTGGCCACAATTAAAAAATTTAAAAAAGAAAAAGTTTCAGGCTGGGTGAGGAGGAGGAAAAAAAAAAATTTCAAGCTGATGGGGAGTCCTTGAGCACAGCTGCCCATTAGAGGAATCCTGCATCTTACAGGAATGGCCCTTCCTAGTATCTTGCTATGCGCAGTCATGGGCTAGTAACAGCTCATTGGAAGTGTGCCCTTGGTGTCAATGCAGCAGTGGATTCAGAGCTTAGCAGCTGGGGTCTCCCTGAAGAAGGAGAGCCGAGAGGCTATTTTCACAGCCTTCATATTATTTTTAAGGCTGCATAATAATTAATTGATGGAAGTATCATACTTTATTCAGTCCCCTCCCAATGAACATTATTGTTATTTCTAGTCCTTTCCTATTACAAATAAGGCTTACCGAATAACTTTGTTTTACATCATCTTGCATATTTGGAGAGAGTACCACAACTTGGGCTCCTGGGGAAGTGGACTCTGAGATGGAGATGAATATATCATTTTTTTTAACTTTATTAAAATACTGAGTTTTATTTCACGTGTATTTTTGTCTCCCCATCATTTCCATGTCTGATCACTGCTACTACTATGTCCCATCATAATGTTCCATACATACTTAAAACCAAGCAAGGGGTGGAGTTCTGTCTTTAAAAACTACAGGCATTTTGGACAACACATTCTTGGCAATGGAACCTGGACAACATTTATCAAACACGGTAGGGAAAGTTCTCACTCTGCGTTATAAAAAGGACGGCTAGATATCAACTGTTACAGAAATGAAATAAGATGGAAAACTTTTAACAAATTGTTTAAACTATTTTCTTAAAGAGACTTCCTCCACTGCCAGAGATCTTGAATAGCCTCCTGGTCAGTTATTTGGAAGCAGTTCTTCACATAATTGATGAACCTGGCTCCCACTTTGGGAAGAGAACCACCTTTTTCTATACTTGCTTGCATGTTTGCTTTAATGTATTCTACACAACTAGGTCCTTTTGGTGTTTTAGGAGTTTTTTCCTGTTTTTTTTTTTTGTGAAGGATTCATGTCCTTTTGATCGTGGTGTTGATGATGGTTTTCAGTCTTTTCCATTCTGACTTGACTTTTGTGCATTTTTAGCTGGAGTATTGCATGTAGATTTCTTCATGGTACTTTTTCTTCAGTTTCCTCATCATCTTCATCACCATCATCATCATCATCATCTTCTTCTTCTTCTTCATCAGCAGCAAGTTTTACTTCTTTCTGTGGAACCTTGCTACCACCTCCAGGGGCAGACCGCTTTCCAGATATACTTAAGAGTTTCATGTCCTCCTCCTCTTCATCTTCTGACTCTGTATTTTCCTCCACAGCTACTAAGTGCTGTCCACTGGTATGCACTGACCCTGAACCACACTTCAAACATAAGACCACTGGTGGTGTTATTTCAAAGCCCCCAAGGGAAATTGTTGGCTGTACAGACATTTTCAAAGTTGCCAGTGTTGCTGTAATTGGACTACCTTCATAATTCATTGCCTTTGCTTCAACAATGTGCAATTCATCCTTTGCACCAGCCCCTAAACTGACCATTCTTAAAGATAACTGGTGCTCATTTTCATCATTATCCACCTTAAAGTGACCATCTTTGTTGGCCTTTAGTTCACAACCGAAAAGAGAGTTCTGGGGCCTCAGGGGGCTCATGTCCATGCCCATCGAATCTTCTATCGGGTGGCGGAACGCACTTAGGTAGAAGAGAAGACGGGCAGAGATAAACGACCACTGCTCAAAAAAACAGCCGTGCAGGATGGAATCACACCAGGATAATCGGTTTATTAGGGTGTGTCCTTTGATTCAATATCTACTGAAGGGAAAGGAGGAAGGCAGGATTGGGGAGACTGAGAAGTTGGTCTGCAACTTAATGATGGGCTCGATTAACCCCACAGGTAGTTTGTAACCTAGTATCCTGTTTTTGAGCTTTGTTTTCCCCCCCGCCTCTTTTCCTTCTTTGGCCCTTTGTATTACTTTTCAGTAATGAAATAGTAACCTTTATCCTCCTCTTTCCACTAGGTACCCTTCACACTTATTTCATACTAGTGTATTTACTATGTTTGCTTAAAAGTTCCAGAGACTAAATCTTGAACAATACAGGCAACTATGGAAATTGCACCCACCACGAAATTGCTTTATGGCTACTGGAGCCTAAGATGGTGCCTACCCATTCACCAGATAGAGAAATCACTCAAGTCAAGTCATGGGAATAAGTCACATTGACCTGCACTGCCTCGCCCCCTGCATACCCTCCATGCCAAAACCTTCCCTTCCTAAACCCTTGATTTCACTTGGAAATTTGAAGTGGTTTCACTGAGACAATAACCTGGATTGTATTCCCCACTGCTGGCTTTGGTTTATGATAAAGTCACTCACCTTCTACCATATCTTGATCTTGCTAATTTGTTTTTGTTTTTGAGACAGGGTCTTGCTCTATCTCCCAGGCTGGAGTATATTGATGCAATTATGGATCACTGCCACCTGGACTTCCTGGGCTCAAATGATCCTCTTGCTTCAGCCTCCCAAGTAGCTGGAACTACAGACGTGTGCCATGCCTAGCTAATTTTTCTATTATTTGTAGAGATGGAGTATCACTATATTGCCCAGGCTAGTCTCAAACTCCTGGGTTCAAGCAATCCTTCTGCCTTGGCCTCCCAAGTGTTGTGATTATAGGTATAAGCCCCAGTGCCTGGCCAACCTTGTTGATTGGTTTTGCAGGCAGCAAGTGGCCAAACTCATATTTGATAAGAATTTCAGTCCAGAAATGGGGTGAGAAATCTGGGGTTTTATACTCCTGTGGTGATCAGTCATTGGATATAGGTTGCTTTAGGGAAATGGCATGACCCTAGGTGAGGTACCATTTTAGCCAGGCAATTCCTGAAGAGAGCTGACAGCTGAAAGGTGTCTATAGCAATACTCCCAGCAACATCTTGGTAGAATAATTTCTTCCTCCCCTTCCCTTTCTTTTCTCCTTCTCTTCTCTCTTTCCCTTCTTTCTCTCCCCGCTGCTTTTTTCCTTCTTTTGGAGTCTTGCTATGTTGCTCAGGATGGTCTTGAACGGCTGGTCTCAAGCAATCCTCCTGCCTCAGCCTACCAAAGTGTTAGGATTATAGACATGAGCCAACCTGCCTGGCCTGGGAATACAATCTTTAGTCCTGAAGAGGGATCTGGGAGGCAAGTCATGGCACAAGGGGTATAACAGTAGAATAAATTCCTAGATGGTCTAATAGGATAATAGGATAAATTCTTAGATGCTGAGTCTTAGCATATTTACATTTGTAATTTTAAAAGGTGTTGTCAAAATAAAAATATGATGTATACACTGTATATATTTTTCCAATATATACTTCCATAGGCAATTCAGGAAAATATCTGTTTCCTCTTGCCCTTGGTAACACAGGGAGTTGTCTAACATTTACATATTTTTTAATAGTTTTTTTATTATATTTTTAAAATAGTTAACCTTTTTATAATCTATATTTTTACTAAAACACTTTTCCACTTTCTTTCTTTTTTTTTTGAGATGGAGTTTTGCTCTTGTCACCCAGGCTGGAGTACAGTGGCATGATCTCAGCTCAGTGCAACCTTCACCTCCCAGGTTCAAGTGATGCTCCTGCCTCAGCCTCCAGAGTAACTTGGATTCCAGGTGTGCGCCACCATGCCCAGCTAATTTTTGTACTTTTAGTAGAGATGGGGTTTCACCAAGTTGGCCAAGATGTTCTCAATCTCCTGACCTTGTGATCTACCTGCCTCAGCCTCCCAAAGGGCTGGGATTACAGGCATTAGCCACCGTGCCCGGGCCACTTTTCCACTTTCTATTTACCCCCCAAGTACATATTCTTTAAACCCTGACTCTGCAATTCACTGAGCTGTCTCAGTGTGTTTACATGTAAAATGGGAAAAACAGAACATGTTGGGTCTCAGAAAACAATACTCCAAAATATGGCACTTTGGCATGATGACCTAAAGCAGCCTCCAGCTGCTGCCTCCCTGCCGCCACCATTTCTCAATCCTCTGTCCCTGTAATCTTAGTAGGTAGGATTACAGGCAAGCACCACCATGCCCTGATAATCTGTGTATTTTTAGTAGAGATAGGGTTTCAGCATGTTGGCCAGGCTGGTCTCGAACTCCTGACCTCAAGTGATCAGCCCACCTCAGCCTCCAAGTGATCAGTCCACCTCGGCCTCCCAGAGTGCTGAGATTACAGGTGTGAGCCACTATACTTGGCTCATTTAGTTTCTTTTCCTTTCTTTCTTTCTTTCTTTTTTTTTTTTTTGAGGCAGAGTTTCGCTCTTGTTACCCAGGCTGGAGTGCAATGGCATGATCTCGGCTCACCGCAACCTCCGCCTCCTGGGTTCAGGCAATTCTCCTGCCTCAGCCTCCTGAGTAGCTGGGATTACAGGCACGAGCCACCATGCCCAGCTAATTTTTTGTATTTTTAGTAGAGACGGGGTTTCACCATGTTGACCAGGATGGTCTCGATCTCTCGACCTTGTGATCCACCCGCCTCAGCCTCCCAAAGTGCTGGGATTACAGGCGTGAGCTACCGCACCCGGCTGGCTCATTTAGTTTCTAATGAGAATCATTTACTAACCATTTTGTGAGCATTGGCCTACTCATTTCACCTAAAATCTATTTACTACCTCTTAAAATTGACACATTATCCCCATCTTCCTCTCTCCAATGAAGAAAGGTATTTTGAATCTGATTTGATTGTTGGGTAATCATTCTCCAGCAATTCACCTTGTTTAGGCTCATAAGACAAATTTATATAGCCTTTTCTCCTATTAATCTGCCTATAGTCAGTACATATTCAGAAAACCTTCAGAGGGCAGAGAAGCTTTCCCTCCACCTCTACAACATACCTTATACAAATATTTTGTCACCAGGCACAGTGGCTCATGCTTGTAATCCCAGTACTTTGAAAGGATGAGGCAAGAGGATGACAAGGTCAGAAGTTTGAGACCAGACTGACCAACATGGTGACACCCTGTCTCTACTAAAAATACAAAAATTAGCTGGGTGTGGTGGTGGGTGCCTGTAAACCCAGCTTCTGAGGAGGCTGAAGCAGGAGAATTGCTTGAACCCAGGAGGTGGAGGTTGCAGTGAGCCAAGACTGTGCCACTGCACTCCAGCCTGAGTGACAGGGTGAGACTCCATCTCAAAAAAAAAAAAAAAAAAAAAAAAAATTGGGAGTTTGATGACATAACAAATGCAAAACCCCATATTTATAAATAGCAGGCAACCAAAAATATTCTCCATATCTTCCCATCATACACTGATGACTTCTAAATTTGTACATTTAGGCCAAATTTCTTATTGGCAAGTAAAAATATTCATCTGTTTGCTGGTTATGTTACTGTAAAGAGGTCGCAATCCAAACCCCCAGAGCAGGTTCTTGGAGCTCACTCAAGAAAGAATTTGGGCCGGGCGTGGTGGCGTGTGCCTGAAGTCCCAGCTACTCCCGAGGCTGGAGGATATCTTGAGTCCAGGAGTTCTGGGCTGTAGTCCACCATGCCGATTGGGTGTCCGCACTAAGTTCGGCATCAATATGGTGACCTTCTGAGAGTGGGGGACCACCAGGTTGCCTAAGGAGGGGTCAACCGGCCCAGGTCAGAAATGGAACAGGTCAAAACTCCCGTGCTGATCAGTAGTGGGATTGCGCCTGTGAATATCCACTGCACTCCAGCCTGGGCAATATAGCGAGACCCCGTCTTAAATAAAAAAAAAAAAAGAAAGAATTTGGGGCCGGATGGGGTGGCTCATGCCTGTAATCCCAGCATTTTGGGAGGCTGAGGCGGACAGATCACTTGAGGTCGGGGGTTCAAGACCAGCCTGACCAACATGGAGAAACCCTGTGTCTACTAAATATATAAAAGTTAGCCAGGTGTGGTGGGGTGTGTCTGTAATCCCAGCTTCTTGGGAGGCTGAGGCAGGAGAACTGCTTGAACCCGGGAGACAGAGGTTGCAGTGAGCTGAGATCACACCATTGTACTCCAGCCTGGGCAACAAGAGTGAAACTCCGTTTCAAAAAAAGAAAAAATTGGCGTGAGTCCGTAAAGTGAAAGCAAGTTTATTGGAGAAATAAACAAAAGAATGGCTACTCCATAGGCAGAACAGAGATATGGGCTGCTCCACTGAGTTATTTCTTGATTACATGATAAACAAGGGGTGGATTATTCACAGGTTTTTCTGGGAAAGAGGTGAGGATTTCCCGGAAGTAAGAGCTCCTCCCCTTTTTAAACTTTATAGGGTAACTTCTGGAGTTACCATGGCATTTGTAAACCATCACAGCTCTGGTGGGAGTGCCTTTTAGCATGTGAATGCATTATAACTAACATATAATGAGCAGCCAGGAGTGCGGAGGTCAGTGAGTAGACCAGAGGTCAGCATCCTGGTTTTGGTGGGTCTTGGCCAGCTTCTTTATTGCATCTGGTTTTATCAGTGGAGTCTTTGTGATCTGTATCTTGCGCTGGCTTCCTATCTCATCCTGTGACTAAGAATGCCTAACCTCCTGGGAATGCAGCCTGGCAGGTATCAGCCTTATTCTACCCTATTCAAGATGGAGTTGCTGTGGTTCAAATGCCTGACAGTTATTTCTATCTTGATGCCCCCGTAGGCACTTTGAATTCAATATAGCCCAGCCAAGCTTATCTTTCCCTCAA